TATGAAATAAATATTATTAATTCTATTTAATAGATGAGAATATTGAGAAACAGAGAGGTAAAGCAGTATGTTTCACAGCCAGTAAGAAGCAGATCTAGGATTCAAGCCCAGGTAGTCTGACTCTTGAGCCTGCTCACCTAACTACTAAACAGCAGTGGGGCAGGGAACTCAACCAACAGTACCATTTACTGAATGGCTACTATGTGCCAGACACTATTCTAGGCACTTTCAAACATCCTATTTTTACAATACTATTCATTTTACACATGGGGTAACAGACAAAAAGGGGGAATAACCTGCTCAAGGTTAACAGTACACAGAGGAACAGGGACTCAGTAACAGATCTACTGACCCCTAAGCCCATGCTTTCTGACTTCACTGTGAAAAGCAAAGGAAGGCTTAGTTACAGGTGGCAGGATTTAAGTATAAGTCAAAGAACTGTATAATTTGGATAGCTAGTGAAGGAGGGAAAGATATTAAAGAAAGGAGGAACAGAACAAGCAAATGCCAGTGTTTAGGGATATTAAGAAAGCAAGTCTGCCTACCGCAAAGGGTGAAGAGAAGTAGAAAATACGGTTAATTTGGGTGATGACAGAGAGGGTAAAAGCAAGGTGGAATGTTAAGATATGATGTAGCAAACAACACAGAGCCTCTGTAGGCTCTTGAGAGGTGAGTGGATAATGAAAACAGGGTTTTAAACATACAGCTGATAACACTATCAGGATGAACTAGAATGGGAACACAGGCACTGAAAGTATGCTGTTGGAATATAGATGTTGAGATCATGAAAACTTAAGAGGGTGGCAATGAAATAAAAAACAAAGGGAAAATATGAAAATAACTCTGAAAGAAAAACCTACAGAATTTCTTGATAATCAGTTTTAAAAGTTTAATTGCTTTTTATTCCTTTAGTAAACAAAATAATATCAATAAATTAGCAACGTTAAATAACAGAAATGCTGTTCTGGCGTGCCCACCTTGGGGCATGCACACTTAAGTCTCCTTTTTGAGTGACTTTTTCTTCTCCTAAACTCTAAAGGCCCTCACAAGACTTGCAACCAGGGGAGCAATGTGCTGCAACAGGTTGTCCCGGGATAACCTTGTGAACCTGTCTCCAAGGCCCCTTTTTCTCTGACTTCCCAGGGGGCTGATGGCAACCTCACCTGGGTCTACCTCTTTCCTATAACATTTCTAGGGACCCAAAGCAGCCCTGCCTAGGCTCTCTCTTGTGGCATCTTCTCTCCTAGGCCCTTCCTTGTTTCACTGTCCCCAGCTTTAAAAAATGTATCTCCTCAAAATCAAAATTAAGAAAAAATAGAAATGCTGTTCTTCAATTTCTTCAGAGATAACTTGGAGGCTATTAGGTTTTTTCCAATATTTGTCTCAGCAAATACCTGCTCAGACCTTTCATTCCACAACAGGCAGAGTCAAGTATTTTTCCTCTGTACCAAACATACTGATAACAACTCTTTGTGCTGAGCAGTCAACCTTAGCTGTACCTATAATAACCCACAGAGTGGGCTCACAGCGGCCTGCCATATTTCAGGCTGATATGCTCTGCTATTGCAAACCCATGTCTGTCGCAGAACAGGTAAGAAAAAATAATAGCTACTCTCTCATATTTTCAGTTGGTTACAGGTTCTTGCAGGGTTGGATGGATGTGGGTACACGTATAAGCTCATGCTCAGAATGTATACTTGATATGATGGCCATGTCTTAGAGAGGTTTGGGGGACAGGCACTAGTCTGATAGCACTAACTGGGTAGACACAATGCCACCCTACCAATTTCAAATTCCCAGTTCCTCACCAAACAATCCCAAAGGAAGAATTCTATTCATATTGCCCAGGGCCAATAAGATGTGGCAGGTACCACATAGTACAATGAGAATGTAAGTAAGAGTTTCAAGATGGTAGAAAAACCTCATTCATCCAAATCTACTAAATACAATTTATTAAGCATCAAGACCCTATATGATATGTTCCCTGGCTACCTCCCTGACCATATGCTCTCTTCTCTAACTTCAATCAAGCCACACTAGCCTCCTTGCTATTTGAACACACAAAGATTTTTGCTCTTGCTGTTCCCTCTGCCTAGAATGCCTTCCCCCAGTAATCACATGGCTCTCTCCCTCACTTCATTCAGGTGTCTACTCAGATGTCATCTCCTCAGAGAGGCCTTCCTTGACCAACTTATCTCAGATAGCACACTCACCCTCTTTCTCTCATTCTCTATTCCCTTACTCTGCTTTTGCTTCATAGCACTTATTATTCTCCAACATTACTTATATGTGTATGTATCCATTTGTGCATATATACGTATACAAACACACACACATACACACACACTATCAGGGAAGGGATTTTGTCTTTCTTGTTCATCACTCCATCCCCAGCACAGAGCAGGTGCTCAAAGAATATTTGTTGAACAGTACATGAACCAATCTATCATATGCTTGGGAGTGAGATAAGTACTAGAAATATAAAGATGAATCAAGCCATGTCTCATGCTTCAAAGACACTAACAATCTACCAGAGGAGGTAGACACATTACAAGAAGACAAAGTTCAACAGCCTCAGGCATTCCCCATAGTTTCCTACGGAGAGTAAAAAAGTCACTTGTAACTTGAAGTATTAACTGCTATAAAACTATAATATTAATTAAAAATTATAAAAAGGCTAATTGCTAATCATGAGACTGACCTGGTTTCAAATTCAGGTATTGCCATGTTAGCTGGGTAAGTATTTAATCTTTCTCAGCCTGTTTCTTAATCTACAAAATTAAAGTAATATTGGTAATTACTTTACAGAGTTGTTATCAAATTAAGATAATGCATGTAAAGAATTTTGGGGGGAAGGGGAGTATAAGGGCCTAAATGGTAATGGAAAAAATATAATATAGATTATATATTTCTTTAAAAAAGAATTTTTCATACTGCCTGGCACACAGTATGTACCCAAATGTTAGTTATTAATGTAATTAATGGTTGACTCCAGTGTCCCTTGAGCCCAATTCCCAATCAATGTTATATCTTATCAATTCTATCACCAAAGAAGCCTCTCCTATCCTTTCCTTTTTATTTTCAGTCTCTAACTGGTGTCTCTGATTACAGTGTATCCCTTCCAATTCAACCTCCACATTCCTAAAGAATTAAATCCAGCGCACCTCCCCTCCTCCAGTTTGGCACTTAAAGCTCTTCCTATTTGGGCACCAACTTACCTTTCCAACCCTATTTTCCACAACTTTCTGTAGTCCACCACTCTAACCAAATTAAATCACTCTACTTTTCTGGTACACACCCCATGCTTCCTTACTACAATACCTTGTTCATTTTATCCCTTCCTGGAATGCTCTTCCGTTCTTTACCATCAAAAGTTCAAATCCTTTTCACCCATCTTTCCAGACCTAGCTCAAATGTCATAATGCCTTCCTTGACCCTTCCCAATGGAAAATGATCTCATTCTCCCCTGCATACCCACAAAATGTTATTTATACCTCTTCTACATCACTGATCCCTTTCAACTTTCTGTATTGATTATGTACTCCACAGAAACCCTTTTGAAAGAATCCATGCCAGTTCCCATAGTACTTATCGCATAGCCTGATACTCAAATATTATGTAGAATGATTTTAAAAATAGATATTAAAATTAGATTTAGCCTCAATAGAAAACTTTCAGACTTGAACCAGAATTTTTTTCATCAAACTTGTATTACAGCTCCCTCACAAAGAGAAGATGGAACACAAAGTACTACTGCATTTCCTAGTCAGTGATCATATTAATTTTTTTAAAATGTCTCGATTAAACAGACCACATACTCTTTATTTCCACTTTCGAATCACCTAGTCTCTATCCCTTCCCATCAGAAACTTCCCACTTCTCAAATTCTACATGGTGTACTTAAATTTAAAAGCAAAATGATAGACTGTTCTTTAAAATGCTGAAAATAACTGTATTCAGGACCAACTAGTTCTACCTATTAACAGTACTGCCAAGCTTACAAAAACACACTAACAAACAACAAGGATGATGATCACCATTCTTCCAGGTAAAGTTGCTGCTGCTCTCCTGTTTCTAAGGCTGAGCTGATTCCCAGGCACAATAAGTAGTCTACATTTGACTCATTCAGCTATCTTACTCAGACACTACTGGTGGAAATGAAGTTTTAAGACAAACAATGACCTTTTGAAATCCACCACCAGTTCTACCATGTCTTACTTGCTATGTGATTATGGCCAAGTCCCTGAGTGTCTCTGTGTATCAGATTTGTTCAAGAGTCCATAAATAGTGAAGGAAAAGAAAAGTTTCATCGGTTTGAAATACAAAAGTATATGCAAATCTTTTGCTACAAAAGACAGAATGTCAATTGAAATGTTTTCGGTGAATTCTCTTTGTTAAAACAGAAGGTTATCTCACTCCTCAAATACAAGTCATTGTATCTGATTTCCAAGTTCATAGGGAGAACTGTTTTTTAAGTCACCTAAACACACACCCTCTTCACTTCCCTTAATTGAAAGCTGCTGATTTCCAAGGAGCCAGAGCTGAGCAGAATGTAAACCTACAGTCTAAATCAGTAAACAATTACCGATGCAAACTGGCCAAACAGGAAAGAGAGGTGGGGGGCAGTGGCGTGGGGGAGGCGATGACAGAAAAATACACGGCTGACCACTACACCAAATCAACTCATGGATCTCGAGATGACACACACACACCTTCCCCGCCCTGGGTCTGTCAGGACTGCTGTTTTGACCCCGACACAATGAGGGCATAACTCTTTAGAAGAGACTCGAGCTTCCTTCCAGCTGGGGCTGGGGACTCTTGGGGAGCCCGGGCCTGACAGGACTCGGGGATGACAGCTCGCCGCCCCGAGAATGGAAAGCCCGAGACGGCTTCAGGTGTGGCCTTGGCCGCAGCCCCAGGGCAGGGTCCGCGTCTCGACAGCTTTACCCAGGCCTGTCCCGGGGTCGGCCCTCGCCCCTCAGCCCTGTCCGCCGGCTTACTGGCTTGGCTGATCCGCTGGATATTGCCGCTGCACGTCTGGATGATGCTGCTGAAGTCCCGAGGTTGGGGCCCCGAGGGCCCCGGGTTCCAGTACATGTCTAAGGGACCGTAGGACATAACGAGGAGGTGAGACTGACTCGCCCTGCTCGGCGGTCCCACCGGAAGCAGCCACCAAACCGGACCGCAGACTGACTGGAAAACCGGGAAGAGAAAGGGCGGGGTGGGGGGGGCGGGAAAAAAAAGGGACAGACGCTGCGCGCGCACTAGCCCCGCCCCCACGCAGTGCGCATGCGTCCGCTCCGCCCTGCTGTGCAGTGCGCCTGCGCTGCCGGAACTAGTGCCCGAGACAGCAGTTTCGAGATTGGATATACAGGGCCAGGAGAATGCAGGTCGGAGTGGTGACGTCACACCGTTGGAGCTGGGATTGGATGAGCTGGGGTGGCTGGCGGTACTGTTTCTCGCCAGGGCACGGTGACAGAAGGCAGGAATTTTCGATTAGTCCGATGATCTCAGCCCTGACTTCCTATTCTGTTCTATTCTGAGAATTCGGGCCCAAATATGGGCGTATTCGGTATTGTTGAAACTGAGATCTTTAACCAAACTCCTGAAAGTCCTCATGCTACTTTCATCCGCCGGCTTTGTTAGTGTTTGCGGAGTACTTTAATGGTTTACAAACCACTTTCATTCCTCCTCCCACTCCTTTTCTAATCTAAATGATACGATAATATTTATCGAGCACGTACTATGTGTGAATTGTCACTGCAATTCAGTTGATCATAAGCTCTTTCACAGCAAGGGACCATGTTGTAACTATGTTTTTACCTTCAGAATAGATAGTAAACAATCGATTTTTAAAATGACGTGAAGTAACTGAACAAAGTAGGCGTTCTTATTTTTCCTTTTACAGTTGAGAAAGACTAGAGGTTAATTTGCTTTCCTGAGATCTGACTGCAAAACCCAAGGAGTAAACTAACTCCGTTGTCATCTCACTACTTTCCTAAAACGCATTCTCATATTCCAAAATTCATTCTTTATCTAAATCCCTCCCAAATAGCCTCTTTATATCCCAAACGAGGATTTCTTGGAGAACTAAACCCTCGAAACTTTTATTTTCTTGTCATTTGCATTGTATGCCCTCAATGATCCCAAAGAAGACTGCATTTTGTGAGCTTATGTTAAGACATGGGTAGGGTTTTGATCTGGGAGATCAAGATAGGGAGAAGTGAAGGGGAAATAGTGTTTGTTTCCTGTGTTCTCCACCCGACCCCACCCTAGCGTCTCAGCAATCTCTGGGGAATGGCAAAGAGAGGAAGCTGCTTGCCTGTGTGGGAGGGGACCCCAAATGGGTGAATGAGCCTGCATTCAGCCTTTGAGCTTTCGTAAGCTAGTCTATTTTTGTTGTTGTTGTTGGAACATTTATAAGAGCATTTCTTTCTCTGTAGAAAGGAACAGGTAACATTTGGGGGCTGTCACTCTGGTTAAAAACTCTACCATTTCTTAGAATCCATAGTCTTATGTCACAGCAAATCATGTAAATTGTGTTTTAAAACTGTAAAATTGTCTTGAGAATATTTTTGTTTACATTTCACTCTGTGTAAAGTGAAGTTCAGTAAAGGTATTTTTTTTCCTAGCAATTGAAGATACAGTGGTTGTTATTGTTTTCTTTCTTCTTTCTTCAAAAAAGATTTATTTTTTCTTAGAGAGGGGAGGAGAGGAAGAAAGGGGGAGAAACATCAGTGTGTGGTTGCATTTTATGTACCCCCCTGCTGGGGACCTGGCCTGTAACGCGGCGTGTGCCCTGACTGGAAATGGAACCAGCAACCCTTTGGTTCACAGGCCAGTGCTTGATCCATTGAGCCACACCAGCTAGGGCTTTTTCTTTCTTCATCTGAAATAGTGGTTATCCATCTGTATCCTGTGCTATCTTGTTCTATCCATTCATAACAATACATTTGTGCCTTGCAAATACTAGATGTTAAATGAACATTTATCGAATTTATACATGAATAAAAAATCACTACCATTTCTTAAATGCCTACCTTGGCAATGTGAATAAGTTTTACAAACATTTATCTGTAATCCCCAAAATCCCATGTGATAAAGACTACCTGTGGTTTCACAAAGTTAGTTTTATTAACTTAATGCTGTAAGGCAGACTGCACACCAGAGGGATCATGGAGCATCACACCAAGCACAGGAAGAGACAGTTTATTCCAGGACTGCGGAAAAGATGTAGAGTGTAGGTAAAATTTAAAAGAAGTGGTGTTTTGATATAGCCTCAAAGTACACCAGGCTATTTGTAAAGGGATTCTCATCAGGCCCGAGATGATTAAAGGATTCGAGATACTGTTTCCTTGGAAACTACAAGGTGAAAATAAATGTGGAATGTTGTTATCTGGAATGGCCTTATCTGAAGCTTTGCACCTCGGTTACAAACTGAGGCTGCTGCTCTGTGTCAAAGTATCTCAGATCCTCCACGCAACACTGGAATATTCCATTCTGACTGATATTTCAATTAGCAAGTTTTAAAAAACCTGTGATTTTAGAGAGTAAGGTTTCTCAGCTATATGTCCTTTTGTTAATTGACAAAAACAGTTTTCATAGTTGACACCCATCAAGATGAGATTAGCTCCTTGGTAACAGGTAAGGAAATCTGTGTTCTCTAGAGGTTCTGAGTACTTGCCCAATGTCATACAGCTATGAAGTATCAGAGCTGTGTTTCATACATATTCTATGACCCAGCAATTCTACTTCTAACTATATACTCAAAAGGCATACACACACACACGTGTTCCAAAAGCCAAGTATAGGAATGTCCGTAACAGCATTTTTAGGACGAAGCAGCGCTTTTCTGTATTAAGTGTTATTGTTATAATCGACATACAATGAAATACACAGATACTGTGTTCAACAAATTTTGACACTTGTAAAAACCCGTTACCACCGCCCAAACCAAGATATAGAACATTTTTATTGTAACCCCAGAAAGTTTCCTTGAGCTATGCTCCTTTCTAATCAATTTCACTTATCTGCAGAAATTATCTGATTTTTATCACTACAAATTAGTTTTGCCAATTTTTGGACTTCATAGTGAAAAAATCATGTTTCATGTATTCTTTAGTGTTTGGCTTGTTTCAATTAACATGATGTTTTTGAGATTTATGATGTTGCATACACCAGTGGTTTGGTCTTTTTTATTGCTAAATAAATGTATAATGCTGAACAAATGCATAAATTAAGATAACTCACCCTGGCTGGTGTGGTTTAGTGGATTGAGTGCTGGCCTGTGAACTGAAGGGTCTCCAGTTTGATTCCCAGTCAGGGCACATACCTGGGTTGCAGACCAGGTGCCCAGTTGGGGGGCACATGAGAGGCTATCACACAATGCTGTTTCTCTCCCTCTCTCTCTCCCTCCCATCCCCTCTCTAAAAATAAACAAAATTTTTTTAAAAAAAGATAATTCACACAATGAAGGTGGTCATAAATATAGCCTACTGTCTTAGTCTGTTTGTGCTGCTGTAACAAAGTATCACAAACTAGGTGGCTTATAAATAACAGAAATTTCTCCTATTCTGGAGGCTGGAAAGATCAAGGTGCCAGCATGGGTTGCCTTATAATAAGGGCCCTCTTTCTAGTTCACAGCTAGTACCTTCTGGCTGTGTCTTCATGTGGTGGAAGGTGCATAAGAAGCTCTCTGTGGAGGCTCCTTTATATATGCACTAGTTCCATTCTTGAGGGTAGAACCTAAACACCTCCCAAAGGCCCCACCTCCTAATACTATCATGTTTAAGGATTAGGATTTCAACATATGAATTTTGTGGAGAACACATTCAGACCACAGAACCTGCAAAATAAATACCTTCAATTATTTAGAGGAAATAAGTTGTCATTGAGTTTATAAAATAGAATGGCCAGGATGTGACAGTGACCATACCTGAAAGGTACCTGTTATTAAACTACTAGCACCAAGGTTTCAAACTAATACATTCCTCTCCTTTAGATGGGATCTCAAAACCGTTTACTCATACGTTATTAAAATTCATCCTGCCCTGGCTGGTGTGGCTCAGTGAACTGAGCACCGGCCTGCAAACCAAAAAGTCACTGGTTCAATTCCTGGTCAGTGCACATGCCTGGGTTGTGGTCCAGGTTCCCAGCTGGAGACATGTAAAGGCAACTGATTGATGATGTTTCCCTCACATACCCATTTTCTCTTCCTCTTGTTCTCTCTCCCTTCCCCTCTCTCTAAAAATAAAATTCAAAAAAAAAATTTAAAAATTTCCTTCTACATATATCTTGAATAATCATAAGAAATATAAAACCAAGGAACAATGGTTTTGTCTAATATTCCACTAAATGGAAACCCCAAGAAGTCAGTAACTTTGTTGCTTTTCCTTCCTGCTGTATCCTTATTACCTAGCACAGTGCTTATAACAAAACAAGTACTTAAACTGGATAAATAAAATCACAGAAGAGAATGAACTTACTCTCTGATGGAAAATGAAACTCCCTAACTAATTTTTTAAACCCTCAAGCAAGACAAACTGACTGTTTTCTAAGCTGAAGGGGATAATAGGATTTATTGGTGAACCAACAAGAAATAAATGGGAAAAAAACACCTAAAATTGTACTTGAGTCAATATGAAGTTTTATTAACACACATTTGTCAAAGTCTGTACAAACCAAAACATTCCTATGTTTTAAAATGTCTGTTATTACAAACATACAAATAAACAAAAGGTGTTACCAAAAGTTAGCTACTCAATTTCATGGTAAAACGTTGTCATGATTTTTAAAAACCAAAATTGCAAGACTGAGGTTTCTTCTTTCCCTTTTTAGAACGTGTGGAAAGTTAGAAAATGCGTGAATTTGCTTTATATTAAGTGCCAAAACCTTAAAAAAAGATTTAGTATAAAACTAAGTATGTTTTTATATTGTCACTTCATGTAACAGAATTTCTCAAGTCTTTAAAAAAACAAAAAAGATGACTTTTTTCACAATCTTTTCCCCAGAGTCAATGTATATGCATCTGAAAAATATTATCTGACAGTTTGTCTTTACCTAAAAGTTTCTCATTCAAAAAGTTATAAAACTATTTAGCACTGCCTTCTCCCTTGCCTGAAAGAAAAAAATTACATCCCCTACTAGAGAGATATAGAAACAACACAGTCCATTGTTTCTTTTATCAGAAAGAAGCCACCCACTTCCACATCTCTGTCCCATC